AGGTAAAATCCATACAGACCTGCAAACACTTGGTGTCAACAACTGGAAAGAGAAGGCCAACCAGACAGATGCATGGAGGTGGGTGATATCTGCAGCAATAAACCTCAAGGGCTCGGAATGCTAAAGAAGAAGAAGAAGAATAGGCATTCAATGAGTCTTGTGGCGAACATCAAGTTGACCATCTTTTATCATCGATCAGCATGTCCTTTACAGAACATCGCTCTCGTCAGGGCACGCCTGGAAGTCTCTCATTTTTCAAGCCAATTCTCCAGCCCTATGTGCTTTCATAGCTAATGCATTTTCAATATCCTGTATCCACATTCGTAAGGTCTGCCTCTGCCTCGTTTTCCGGAAACTGAATCCTCCATCCCCGTTCTCTCCAGGCGACCATGACGTTTAACATGACCCAAATACCCCTAGCTTTCCGACAGGATACTGTTTATGAGCCAATTCTTCTCTATGCACAGATCATGTAGGGCGTTGATATTTTTTTTCTTTTTTTTTTTCTTTTTCGTGGCCCATCGTATTCTAACAATAAAATTCGACCACCTTTACTTCCCAGTAAATTTCCTGGACCCACATTAGACTGGATAACATGGATGCTCAGGTCAGTTATATTTTTAACAATCAGCCACAATGCTATAAACAAAAGTTTATACAGGGATTGTAGAAGTGTAGTTAGAATAAATCAGGGAACATCTCATCCTTTCACAGTGACATCTGGAGTAAGACAGTGGTGTGTCTTATCACCACTGCTGTTTATCACCTACATCGACAGTATATGCAAGAATGCCAAGCCCATGAATGAAGATCTTAGTAAGATCAACGAATTACTCTTTGCAGATGACCAGGCCTTGATAGCAGATACAGCCATGAAATTGCAACAACATCTAACATCCATGAATGAAGAATGTAAAACAAATAATATGAGAATCAACACTGAAAAGACAGAAGTAATGTCAATAGGAAAAAAGAAGACAGATCTAAACATAACAATAGAATACAAAGGCATTAAACAGGCATCTGAGTTTAAATATCTGGGAACTACATTTACCGAAGATGGGAAATTGGATAAAGAAATTGACATTAGGTGCAGTAAAGCAAACCAAGTATTGGGACAGCTAGCCCCCCTCTTACAGCATAAGACAATCCCAATCAGCACAAAGAGTCATCTTATTCAAGGCATATTTATTCCAACTCTGTGCTACCAGTGCCAGACATGGTCACTCACAACAAACCATAAAAGAAAATTAGTAACCACGGAAATGAGATGTCTGAGAAGGGCTGTAGGAGTGACCATAAGAGATAAGATCAGAAATGAGATCATAAGAGAACAAGTCGGCACAGAACCAATTCTGGATTACAAAGACAGCAAGTGAAATGGTTTGCCCACTTAGAGAGAATGCCTTGTGACACCATACCATACAAAGCATACATGGGAAGAGAAGAAGGACGTAGAGCACGGGGTAGACCAAGAACAAGATGGAAGGATAACATCAGAGAAACTCTACAACAGCACGATGTGCCTATGGTCGAGGCAGCCAGAAGAGCTAGAAACAGAACCTTATATCTCCCTCGACACCCACAGCGGTAAAAGAGGAAGTGAAGAAGAAGAAGAAGCCACAATGCGGATTCGACCCAAGACCTTAGGACCCGTAGGCAAGCGTTCAACCACTGTTCCACTGCGGCACTCATCCTCACTAGTAATATGAGACAATAAAACGTGTATGTTTCCACACACTTTCACACACACATACACATTCTCTCTCTCTTTCACACACACACACACACACACACACACACACACACACACACACACATGTATATATTTACTTATACACGTTTAATAAACCATTATGCCTTTAAAAAAAACGTACTGTTTTTGCAGTTTGTGATGTAACTAGGTAATTTTACGTTCAGCATTTTAGCCCTTAACAGTCGCTCTCGACACTGCTGTTTAAACCAACGCAAGGCGGTCTTTTGCTCAAACGGCCGCAGCTGGGATCGAACCCGACACTTCAGTATTACAAAGCGCGTTTATAATGCCTTAGCCACAGACGCCGGCATATTGAGCATTCACCCAGAATATCTAAGAGACTTCACACAGGCAACAGACTGAGTGGGTGTATTCATGTATTATGTATGTCTGTATATGAGTGTGTGTGTGTATTTATGAGCAGGTAAGAGTATGATTTTCAGATTACTAACTATATCACCATCATCAATAACATAGCGACGCCACCACTTTCTTCGTCATTGTTTTTTGGCATTTTCGTCTTCGATATCAAAATCGTCATCACACCACGCTGCGGCCAGAAAACACATGACATGAAAAGGTAATGTTACAATAAAGAGGCAATCTATATTCTTTGATCCCATCACGAGAAGAGGGAAATATGTGTACGTGTGTTTGAGTGTGTATGATTGTGTATACTTGATGTGTGTATGCATTATTCTATAAAGTATATTTTTCTTTATAAACATAACAAGCATTATTGATAACAGGGAATGGAGCTCTGAAAAATGAGTGTTTAGATGGGCCGAATGTCAGACGGGCCTGCGTGCCTAATTTGTAACCTTTCGAAAATATAGTTTATTCGTTCGTTCGTTCGACTTCATTCAGAATCATCACGCATTTTGTACTTTGCAAAACGCCGCTTTCATCACGGTCTGCTTGAAAGAAACCAGCTCTCCCGTCTCGTGCACTTTCATATCAGTGAGAATGTATATGCATAATATGACTAATTTTTATCTATCGTAGGATAAAGATTCTCAGAATATCTTGGACAAAGAAGAGGAGAAATACTGACATCTTGAAAGATCTGAACATCAAGGAAGATTGGCTAATAAACAGCATCCTGTCTCAGAAGCTGAAATATTTTGGTCACAGCAAGCGCCACGACGGATTGGAAAAAAAATTATAGCAGAAGGCATGGTACCAGGAAGGAGGGGCAGAGGCCGACTAACACAAAGATGAGCACAGGATTTAAGTGACTCCTTGATTATGAAAGTACATGAGGCGGCAGAACTGGCGAGAGACCGAGTTTCTTTCAGGCAGACCGTGATGAGATCGACGACGTTCTGTAAAGGACCTGCTACATGATGATGATGAGGATAAATAATTACGTCTATGCTGATCCTTTCTAAACAAAGTACTCACATGAATGACAGACTCGAAGGCTATTCTTGCATCGCTGTCGTCAGAATCGTTCCTTCTCCAACCAGCGTCAGAACGAACTATCGAGTATAGTGTGGTGTTCGTATATACCTGGTTGATCACAATAAAACAAGTATGATTGTGTGAATTTATTCATCTTTGTCATCTTCTATTCTAGACCCTTGTTATATGTATATATTAAGTAGAAAATCAAGTAAAGGACCCTTTCCAACGCCTTTCGGGGTACTGGGCATATAGGGCTATTCCTATACGTTATACACCAATTAGTACTAGATGGGTGGTGTGGTCAGCATCAAGCTGACCGCCTTTGCCTCCCAGGACTTCACTTAGTACCCACTCAAGGCTGAGTGACCGAGGAGCCATAGTGATTTAGGCCCATGTCATGCGTTTCAGAATTAGGGTTTAAAGTGGCATCAGACATGAACTTTGGTGTGTGCTGCATAGAAAGTATTATACATTTTCTGTTGTTCGTTCGTCCATCACAAGTAATGAGGACCACTCTTTCTTTCATCCGTCATGAAACTGCAGTTAAAGGTTTGTAAGTCGGGAGGTGGCCTAGAAGTCCAATATGTGCCTAGAAGAGTCTAGAACAATGAAGGCAGGGCACAGTGTCTGTAGACAAAGGGTCTGTTTTGGCGGTTCTTTGTGGCCTGTCTTCGCTGTTCAGATTATCGTTTTCTAGATGTCGCGCAGATCGTTGCACCGTTTCGTATATATGTGCGCCATAAAGTTCGGTCTTGTGCTGCAGCGTTCCAGGTGTCAGGGTTTATACAGAAGGCTTTTAATGATGACTTTTGTGTGTCCTTGAAACTCTTTTTCTGGCAACCATGAGAAGGTCGACCTTCATGTACCTCACCATAGAAGATTATTTTTGGGAGCAGATAGTCAGACATTCGAACAATATGGCCAGCCCATGGAATCTGTGACATCATCAGGATGGAATTGATGCTGCGAATGCCAGCCCTATCCGACAGTGTCCGGGACCATCTCTTGCCACTTAATGTTCAGTGTCTTTAACAGACAAACTGTATGGAAGTGGTTGAGTTTTTATGTGTGTGTGGGCCTGATATATGTTTACAGTCCAAGTTTCACAGGCATACGGTAGCACTGGATGCACTGCAGCTCTGTATACCTTGAGTTTGGTTCGCAGACTACAATGCTATAAATTCGTGTTTAACTCTTTGAGTCCCAAGGAACGCATTATAAGTTCATAGGTTCCTACCTAGAAGCCCAATGAACGCATGATGCGGCGATTTTATTACTTTCTTTACTACCCCCTGGGCCTGTGATGCTAAACCCCCTGGGACTCAAAGAGTTAACCTGCCAAATTATACATATTGACTTATGTATATCTGCAGTTTGGAAATGGCAAGTGAAAATGTTTTTTTTTTTTTTTTCTAATTGAAAAAAAAATTAAAGTAACTTTAAAAATTGACAAAGAAGACCACGCAGTACCACAGTATCCCAGTGCCTTGCCTGTCTATCCAGCTAGACATTGACATCTGCGTCTTTCGACCGAACACACCCGATTTCTGCAAATTCTTATTTAGTCAACTTTTACGATATGCCTTTTAAAAGATACTGGGTCTATTCTCTCGCCACATCTCCCTCCATTTTCCCACGCCAAATGAGCCCTTGTAATTAGTGAGAATTATTTTTCAATTCCCCACCTAACATATGCAGCGAAATAAAGAGGATAAATAGACAGCTTGCATCCCTATTGGTTCATAAAAGACAAAATGAGGAGAATAAATTGACATCTTACATCTCCATTGATACATATAAAGGAGAAGTCACCGTCTGTCATCCCCAGCCTGTGAGCTACCAGCATGTACTTTCTCATGGTCATCCAGGGAACAGAGAACACTATCACTGCAGATTATCAAAATCACATATTAGTTACAACACAGTGGGCAACACTTTAATAAGTTCAACTGCATCTACAGAAGGTTTCAATCTGAAGTTTAACGGCAGCTAGAGACATTTCAGTAAGTTTAACTGCAACTACTGGATATATTTTAATCTGAAGTTTTATTACAGTTACAGAACATTTCGGACTGAAATTTAATTGCAGCTACGTGACATTTGAATCTGAAGTTGAACAATTTCTACAGGTTATTTCAATCTAAAGTTAAACTGCAGCTACAAGACATTTCAGTCTAAAATTTAACTGCAGCTACAGTATATTTTAATCTGACGTAGCAGTAGTAGTACATTTTACCCAGCTAGGACATCACACAAGCGATAAACACCCGATGACACAAAGCACCACCATAAGCACCACCATATGAATGGCCCGGCTATATTGCGGCCCCTGGCTAGAGCCAGGGTGGGGCTTCAAAATAACGAAAAATTGCATCCCACAAGGGGATGGCGACAATGATGAACCTGATGTTTCTTCTTTTACTTCTTAACGTTTACTGACTGTAAACTCCGGCGGAAGTATCTTGTTGTTTGTCCACTTCTGGACTTTTTTGCCTGCACATCCATTTTACACATCTGTCTTATGTGTATGCAGACTGCTGGTTCGTCGCTTCTCAGGTAGATGAACTCCGACTTCCAAAGAAAACACCCAATAATTATTCATCCTTTATGAGAATGCTTGTTAGTGGGCAGCGAACATATTTTAACAACCCTCTCCCCCCCCCCCCACCCCAATTGGAGCCAAATTCTAACCCAGCGATAACGTTTCTTTATTAACCGTCCAGGTTTGCAGTGTGTAATATTAACATCTCGAGGATGACAATCAACCGGAAACATATTACATAATCCTTGATCATCAGTTTAACAGACTTAAATTTGGGAGAGTTCCATTACAGGTTTGTTAGTTTCGAGCTGCGGCCTCCAACGTGTGGGGCACGACCCTATGGGGTAAGGGGGGGGGGCCTCAATGTGGGTTCTAGAGAACGTAAAGCAGTTTTGAAAGTGTATTTTTAATAATCCGTTCTACTTACAATTTGAGTTTAATTACAATTAAAGAGAATAATTAAAACTATTTTTTTAACAAAACAACAAAGGACATTTTCCACCATGGCAACCAAAGGAAAACGACAAGAAAGTTGAATGAATAATTAAGAATCGACTTCACCGCAGTTGTGAATTTCCTTGAGCGCTCTATCCCTATCTTCAGGAGCAAACCCAAAGTTTCAATTCCGATAGTACCAATTATACATTTTGTGTGTGCCTCCGCAGTGTTCACTGGCTCCCAAAGGAAATATCTAACTTGTCAGTGACAACTCATCCCCAAGTGAAGCAGAACAAGCCAGTCTCTCTGCCTGTTCGTTTCCCAACACACTAGCACGGCCTGAAGAAACTATCCAAGGGATACGACAAGAACGCAAATAAGTAAAGTAAAAAAAGTAAAGATCCCTTTTCACGCCTTTCGGCGCATCGGGCATATGGGCAGAGCGTCCCATATTTTTACAGACCATCAGCACTCGGAGGGAAATGTTGTCAGCATTACGCCGGCTGTCTTTACTTTTCCAGGACAGCCCATCCTGGTACCCGTTTTAGGCTGGGTCGACCTGCGACGTCCCATACCACGACAGTGGGTTTCGATCGCGGTATGCTGGCTTACGAGTCGGACTCGCAACGCCTTAGCCACGGACGCCGCAAGAACGCAAATAGCAGGTAAGAAATATATATTGTTTATTTGTTTTAATTTTTTTTTTTTTTTTATGAATTACCTCTAGCGTATTTCCGCACTTGTTGAAAGATTTTTTGAATCTGGCTGTCAGGCAGGCTCTCGTAGACAACGTGTTGGGAGGTAACGGTGTTGTTTCTCTCTGTCAGATACACTGTGATGGCGTCATTGACTGATTTGTAAGCGGAATCTGCGTCGTAAATCATGGCGAAACGTCGCCATCGGAACAAGATGGTGACAAAGTTCATGGTGTACGCTGGGAAAGAAAAAGGTACAGGACATTTCAATATCAGATCCTGACAGAGCTACAGTTTAAAACAAAAATAGCCTTGGCTCCCAGGTCAACCTAGCTTCACATGGGTATCAGGTAAAGGCCTGAGAATTGAAAAGTGGCCGCTGTCATGGTGACCATATCCCTCACAGAGTGCTGACTGGTCTATTAAATATAGGACTAGCCCTAAATGACCAGTACGTCTGAAGGCGTAACAAATGCCTTTTTTTCAAATTTAGCAGTCATTGTACAGTCGCAAACTTTATGTTCAGTTAATTATGTGCATTTGTCAATAGAACGTGCTAAGAACCTTCTTCATATCACTACTCCATTCATAGATGCCGGAAATGTGGGATTCAGACACATTGACCTAATCCTCATTCCACCGTCCCAAAAATTTAATTTCAAGTAAGCTTCCCCTCCACCCCCCCTCCCCTCCCCAGAACCAACTCCAACAGCCCCTGGCTGTTGTATGGCTTTTCTAGGCAAATTTACGTCCAGTAGTTTGCCATTGCTTCTGGGCGGTCGGCTTTCGTGATACCACTGTCGAAACTAACGCAAGGCCCATGGCCCGCATCTGGGATCGAACCCGGCATCCCTGCATTACGAAGCGTTCGCATCGACTTAGACACAGAGCCGACTTTAGCCAGATATAGAGGTCTCTTTTTTGTTTACATATTTTATATTATTTCAAATATATTGATGCATTTATTTTGACTTAATAGACAATGTGTCTTCAAAGTCCTGTATCCACTTAGGCAGGGACGCCTCTAGCTCGTTTTCCGGTTAACTGCATCCTCCATCACCGTTCTCTCCGGTACCCACACTGGGAGTCATAGATTCCAATGAGTATTGCAAGCGATGAGTCATAGATTCCAATGAGTATTGCAAGCGATGAGTCATAGATTCCAATGAGTACTGCAAGCGATGAGTCATAGATTCCAATGAGTATTGGAAGCGATGAGTCATAGATTCCAATACTTACCGAAGCGAATGTTTTAAATTGATTTATTTTGCCAGATCGATTCAACGTCATCACGTCGGTCACCTTTACTTTCCAGCAAATTTCAGAATTTGTAGAAACAATTGGGGGCTTAAAATAAATTACCTCCATGCGGATTGCAACCAGAGACCCTCGGACCGACAAACAAGAATCTGGCCACTTTGCTACGGCTAATTCCAACATTCGTTTCTACCAGTGGTCTCCAGCCTGGGAGAGGAGGTTGAGGTCAAAGAGGTTTCAAAAAGGGAGGAGGGGAGCTGAAGCAATATAAAACTTGAGTTCATTTGTACGTGTAATAATCGGGATTTTTAGCTTTAACCGTCCTGAAAAAAAATCTACACAATGAGGAATTAGATCCGCACACAATAAATGAGCTAATATTTGCAGATGATCAGTTCCTGTTCTACAATGTGGGGAAGTGGAAACTGATGATGATGATAATGATGATGATGATGATGATGATGGTGATGACCGTCCGGACAACAAAACAGCTCTGCCAGCTTGAATTGACAGTTATCTCCGGTTTGATGTGACTTGTCCACCAACATGAGACCAAAAATAGCAGATGTCATCAAGACAGTACAGTGTCAACCGTCACACTGATATTTGGACACCACTAAATTACCAGTTGTTGTTGATTGTTTCTTTTGTTATTTGACACTTTGATTTATGTGGATGTTTTTCTCCAAGTTCTTTTTAACAGTGCTTCGGGTTTTTCTGTCTGTCCTGTATTTGCCATATTTTATAATGTTGGGGGTGGGGTTCTTATACTCAAGGGAGTCGCCACATGAAAAAGGTTGAAAACCGTTGGTTTACACAAGGCAACACTACCCTGAAACCTTTAACGGGGTCAGCGTTTGTGAACGCGCTTCCTAATTCCGTGGTAATCGGTTCAATAGCAGCTGCAGGCGATTTGGCATCAGTACCCGTTGTGTTTATTTTGACAGGGGTATAGAGAGTTGGCCGTTCAGGGAGCAATGGCAAACCACTGAACATAATATTGCCTAGTAATACTCAAAAAAGACAACCCACAAATGTTAGGGGTTGGTCCTGCTAAAGGATGAGCAACTTTTTAAAAATCTTTAATGGATACCCATTGCGGATACCGGTATTTTGAAAAACAACGACGATATCAACAATCTACAAAAACATGGAAGCTTACAGAACTGGTTCAACGGACCCAGAAGACGCACAAGAGTAGTGTAAACAGTTCTGTCCTCTAGGGAATGATCGTTGGACACCCAGCCAAAAATAGGCAAGTTCCAGTGGGAGGCTAACATAGCCACTCCTGCCATACCTGAAATACAAGAATGGGTAACATGTCTCCTAAAGTAGATAATGTCCTTTGTGGAACGCAATTTTTATTTTTATTTTGAAGTCCAACCTCGGCTTTTGCCGGGGGCCCGAAATATAGACTGGCCATAAAATATGGCCTAACGGCTGAACGGGGTTTCCGGAACCTCTTAGTTGGTGATCCTAATCCGCATGGTGGCACTTTGTATCACCGGATGTTTTTTCGCTCGTGTGATGGTTTGGTGGGGTACAACTTACCTACCTACCTACACTCCTAAAGAGTTCAAAACGTCACTGTGCCGTACATACATACATACATACATACATACACACATATAATGATACATGTATATGTGTGTGTGTATATATATATCATCATTATCATTCATTGGCACCTTTCCGTCTTTCCAGACGATAGTGTTATATTGCGCTATGAGGAGCCACGAGACTCACGGCCCATGGCGATGGCGAGTATGACTAGCAAGACCAACCTGTGTTAAGAAAAATCTTCCACAATGATAGCATGGGATTTCAGGACCATTGTTAACAACATTTGTGTTTAATGCTTTTCTTTTCAGACACTCAGCTCTTATTTATTCTTTCTGCAGTCACTTCTTCCTTCAGTCTCATTCCCTTCCTGATATGGGAAGGGCATATCAGGAATGGAATGAGACTGAAGGAAGAAATGATTGCAGAAAAGATGAGAGCTGAGCGTCTGAAAAAGGGGGGGGGGGGGGGGGGGTTTAATCGCCTATAATGTTCATGGTTTTCAAAAACGCCCCCCTCCCCCACCCCTTCCCTTCCCATTCTCCAAAAGTTGGATCGATCGGTCTGTCGCCTCCGAACTGCTTCCTGAAGGTTTACCATGATATACTGAGATTTTCAACAGTCTTAGTCGGGACGGGAGCCGCTGTGGTACATCGGCTAGATGCTCGCCTGCGGAGTGGAAGGTCGTGAGTTCGAGTCCTGACCGAGCCTGACTTTTTCTTTCAAAAGTGAAATTTGGCTCCAGGGTTGACCTAGCCTTGAGTCGGTACCAAGTAAACTCCTGGGAAGTAAAGGCGGCCGGCGTGATATTGACCACATCTCCCAACCAGTGCCGATTGGTCTATAAAATACAGGTCTAGTTGTAAGCACTCAATGTGCCTGGAGGCGTAGAAAAGAGTCCTTCACTATCCTACAATCTGGACGGCAGACCAGAAAAGATAGACCCAAGATCCCCCGTTCAACCAACAAAGTAGTTGTAATTAGTGTACCCAGCCTGGTGTAACCTGCAGTCCGGTGCAGGTAAGAACCATGTATATTCTCAAGTGGTATTACCTAGACAAAAATACGGATCCTGGCTGCGTGCAAAACGTTTCATCCAATCAAAGTGAAGCCAACACTTTTCACTCAGCAACGTTAAGCAGGGGCGGTAAATTTGCTGTTATTTTCATACCAGAAATGGGTGAACTGGTCGATGCAGCTAATATCCTTTGTCCCTTTATTCTGACAGATTCATTTGTCATTTATGACAGATATGTCCCTAGAGACAGGTAGCGTTCTACACGAAATATATATTTAGCTGATAGATTGTCCTGATTAATGTTAATACTGGCGCTATTAAGAGAGTCAGATTTTGTTTTTCTCTGACAGTACGCAGTCCCGGCACCTTTGCTATAGGCATCATTTTTTTACAGCGTTACTTTAATAGACATCTTGTGGTAATTATCACCATCTTTTATTTACCACATTGTAGTGAGTACTGGTATCTTTTTTCCCCCCGATAAAAACAAAACAAAACACACAAAAGCTCTGTTAATATTTACTAGAACTATGTGCTTGCATCATGTGGAAAAGAACTGGGTGCTCTATTATTATCCTACCCCAGATGACGTCACAAGACAGTTCAACATTTTAGAGGGTGGTAAGACTGGGTTTCGCGGCTTTCTTATGCTTTTAAGGACCCCAAAACATCTAGAACTAGCCCTAACCCCAACCCAGCTACCTCCCACAAGAGTGCAGCCTAGGTCCCACGACTGCATGCAGCCTAGGTCCCATTGCATGCAGCCAGTCTACCACTCCCTGAAATATTAGATTGTCCCGTGACCTGTGGATTTTCCCTGTTTGAGATAGGATATTAATAAAGCACCAAGAACTGCTTTGTGAAGGATTGTTCTCATACCACATCTTCATATAGCCCTTATTAGCTCTCTCGACTCGCGAATTGTTATACCCTTATATCATGTACCCATCTTCGTACCGGTCAGACCCTGCTCCTCCTTTCTGGCACCAAGCCTTCTTTTTTCAGTCAGACCTATCGCTTGATAAGGCCGAATATTTGAGCCTCCGAGACAAGATGCTGTTCATTAGGCAATCTTTCTTGATGTTCAGATCTTTTAGAATGTCATTATTTTTTTCTCCTCATGTTTTTTCTTCTCTCCTCGGAATTTTTCTATGGAAATTCAGCTCAAACTCTCCCTATTTTCTCTCCTAATGTCTGCGAGATAATCCATGACTCGCATACCACAGGAAAGACGCGTGCTCTCAAAATGTTGACTTTGATTTTCTCACCGGTGCTAAACCATAGACTTTTAAAGATGTTTAAAAACAAAAATGTTACTGGACGGTGTTAATGATGATGCATTGTGAAAGACTTCCTAGTCACACTTGCCATCGCAGTGGCCTGTGATTCTCTTGATTCCCCTATAGCACAATTTAAAATTACAGAAAGGTGCAAACCGATCATGTGATTGTAAGGTAGTCCTTGCTTGAACAGATACTACCATTGATGAGAAGGGACTGTCCCGTATTCTAAGCCATAAGTGTGTGTGTTTGTGGAAAGGGGAGGGGGAGAGAATGGAAAAGGGGTGATATCTACCCACTTCTAAGGGTTGAAGCAAAACCGCTGTTTGGATATACAAGCTCACTAACCACTATACCATCGAGGTAATGTTGGTAAGTTAGTCAACAGATTATCATCATCACACATCGAAGCATTGAGTCCATAATTGCACAGATACCCTCTTCAGCAGGCTTATGACACCAGTTCTGTGTTGGTTTACTATTCTTCTTTGGGCCTCTGTGTAGCGCTCTTTTCTGGCTTCACCCCTTTCGATGTTATGTTTGCGTAGTTTCATCAGTGTTGCAGGTTCACAATCATTGCTTGATTCGTTTAATCGAACCGCCTGTCTGAGGTCATTCAGTATATCAGCCTTGTCCATTGCTAGTCCGTTCTCCATGTGAGCACAACTTGCAAGTCTGTCAGCTCGCTCTTTGCCCTTTACACCAGAACAAACATGAACTGACCGTTGTCAGCCTAGATATATTCAGGGACTCCACCCATTGACTGGTACTAACAGTAGATTAAAAGATGGCGATACTGAGTGCATCCTAATGAGAAAGAACTGAACATGGTCAGTACCACGCAATCTTTATTTTCCAGGACATATGGTGCTCAATTCAGATTATACAATTGTCTTTTCATGTAATGCGCTGATAAAGGCTTTCTAGCCGTAAAGTGCACGTACTGTTTGTAATTGTCATAACGTCAGGCTGACTTCTACTTTTTGTACTGTTCATTTATATGATATCATTTCGGCCGAATCAACGTGGGAATTAATGTCTTTTAATATCTTTATTGAAGTGCTCGTTTGTGATTCATTGTAGTCGAAGTCTCGTTTGTGATTCCTTGTAGTCGAAGTCTCGTTTGTGATTCCTTGTAGTCGAAGCGCTCGCTTGTGATTCATTGTAGTCGAAGTCTCGTTTGTGATTCCTTGTAGTCGAAGTCTCGTTTGTGATTCACTGTAGTCGAAGCGCTCGTTTGTGATTCCTTGTAGGTCTCGTTTGTGATTCCTTGTAGTCGAAGCGCTCGTTTGTGATTCATTGTAGTCGAAGCGCTCGTTTGTGATTCATTGTAGTCGAAGTCTCGTTTGTGATTCATTGTATTCGAAGTCACTTGGACATTCATGATAGATTAGGTATTGGCGGCCATATTGTAGGAAATCAAGAGCAGACCCACTGCCTACCCAACAACATTGGTCCTAGAGTCCTCTTATGAAGTTCGGGGGGGGGGGGGGGGGGGCTTCTTTTGAAGTCGGAGTTTATCTGCCTGAGGCGGCGAACCAACAGTCTACATACAAATGAGGCAGATATGTAAAACGGAAGCGCACCTAACAGTAAGGTTTTGGAACAGGACTGCAGTCCAGAAGTGGGCAAACAAACTTTCCGCCGAAATTTCATTATGCTGGTGAACGCAAGGGGAAAAAAAAGAGATAGTAGCATATAGCCGAAGTATTGATGACAATTGAAGTACACACATTTTTTTTTATGCAGACAAACTATTAACCAGGATTTACCTTCATTATCGTCATCAACATCCTTGTGTGACATTATACATCTTGCAGAGCTCGCAATCTACTTATTAAACTTCTATTTTCTTTGTCTTATAATTTATGATACAAGTGGTGGTTCTGTCATTTCTCTCTTATTTGCTTGTCAGAATTCATCCTTTTTAATGTCTGTAAATTTGCTTTCGTGTCTTGATACACGTAAGGGAGAGAGGATCGACTTTTATTGCACAGGGTTTTATCCCATATGGCTCTCTCGGTAGAACAGCTAGATGCCTGCCGCGAGCATCACACAGAGCACGACATCCGTAGCTCCGGTGACGATACCCAGTGATGTCTGTAAAAATTGAACTCGTGAACTTCTGCTTCTTCTTCGCGTTCACCAGCTGTAAACTCTAGCCTAAATTTCTGGTTGTTCGTCCACTTCTGGACTGCAGTCCTGTTCCAGAACCTGAATGTTGCGTGTGCATCCGTTTTACAGATCTGACTCATTTGTATACAGACTGCTGGTTCCTTGCCTCTCAGGCAGATGCACTCCGACTTTGAAGAAAACTCCCAATTAGTCGACTGGTACGACATGCTGTTGAGTAGGCAGTGGGTCTATTCTTGTTTTACCTATAACAGAGTCCCGGAACCCACCCGGAGAACTCGTGAACTGAAAGGCGCCGTTGTGATC